TTATATATATGTATGTATGTATGTTACTGTGTATTTAAAGAAATACACCCTCCCACATCACCCCAAAAAAGAGGGAAGAGCCAAGTCTTCAGAGCAGGACAATTAAATTATTTTAATTATAACGATAATTATAAACCACCTTACAGTATAATATAACCGACTGTTATAACTGGTCATTATAAACTAACCAGAAAGGGCTCGTGGTCTGTTTCCACCCCATCGGCGATGGGGCTGCGTGGGGGGCTGGGGAGGATGGGAACTATAGTCTCAGGCTACAGGGGAAGGCGGGGTGGGGATAATGGGAGCTGCAGTCCAGGACAGCCGGAAGCAGACTATGTCGAACTTGAATTATGCCCATTAAAAGAAAAAAAAAGTTTACTTGGGGGGTCCGCGTCCCCCTCCCCAAAAAAACGCATTAATGGGGCCGATGCAACAATTGTTTATTTTAAAAAGGCGCCCCTCCCTTCTGGCACGATCTGTTCCAGCCTCTGAGGCTCTCCAGAGCTGGGGATGGAGGAGCATTCTGTACATGCCCAGAGGCTCGCTTTCCTCCCCACCCTCTCGCACGTTCAGGGGTCCAGAGGGCACGTCCGGGCACAACCCTGTTCTGCTCCACCCCCCAGCGACCCCCGAGAACCCCCACCGGAGCCTCACTGACACGCTCACCAGCTCAGCGTCTTCCAACCGGTCGCCGCCATCGTGGCCGCCACCGCCATCTTAAGCCTGACCCGCCGCTTGCCTTGAACAGCCACGGCCGTCACCAAGCACCGCCCCGAACTCCCGGATCATCCAATCCCCGTGGCGAACCTCACCGCGAGGCACGGCCCGGGAAGCGAAGCGACCAATCAGAGGGTGGAAAGGGAGGACGCGTGAGGGGAACCCGGCGCCATCTTGCGTGAGGGCGAGAGCCCCGTCCCTTTCGCCCTTTCCGGAAGTGCAGGGCGTTTCCGTTGGAAAGTAGGGAGGCCTGGCTTTTCTTGCACTCAGAGTAATAAGTAGGGGGTTGCAGACTTAGAAGTAAATCTGAATATTTAGCACTAGCACCTTGGAAACAGCAAAAGAAATAAGGTTGCAATAACAATTCATAGCATCTTGATAGAAGTAACCTGGAGTTTCTCAACCTTGCCCCCTGGAAGATGGGTGGACTTCAACTCCCAGAATTCCCCAGCCAGCCATGCTGGCTGGGGAAT